AACATTAAATTAGAGGTAATGTTCAGGTTGGACCCATTTGAAAGAAAACCTTCACTGATGTTTATGATTTTCACGTATTAAAAGGAAGATATTTCCATGGCTTTCACTGATGTAGGGCAGATGACAGGTTATAGAAGCGACTAAAATCATGCATGCAATGTTTGTTTCTGTTCTCCAGGTGTGACCTCAGAACAGACCAGCACCGTCATGACGGAGGATGTGGACGATCTGGACTAATTGGCTCCGTTTCTGTTTTGCAGCAAAAAAAAGGGGCTGTTCATTGAGGTTGTTATTTTTTTTTCCCCCACATGAAGGTGTGAACAAACCTCTTAGTTTTCGTCATGTTTATTGTAAATCCACTGACTGTTAGGGGTTGTGCTCATGTTTATGCAACTTTCTGTCTTTATTTATTGCTTTAATTTTTATGGAGAGAAGAGAAAAGAATGCTGTTTCTGAGTAGATTAGTTAGTGTTGGTGTCGTTTGGATTTCTTTGCTCGATTTGAAAGCAGGGCTGGAATCCAACAGCGGCCGGTTGGTTTTTTACCTCTGAGCCTTGTTGCTGTTTGCTTCCCGCCCTGGACGTATGAAGATCGACTTTAAATGTTTGTGCTGATGAATCGTGGTTCCAGTGGCGTGTATATTATTCGCTCCTGCCATCCTGAAGCTGTCGTGCGCTTCTTCTCCGGCTGAGACGGCAAGTAGGAACATTAGTTGAGACAGCAACCCTGCAGCTGTGATCACATGACGAAGTTAAAGCTGACGGCCGGAGTCGCTTTGGTTTGTTCGGGTAAAAAGAAGCCACATTTTTTTATTTGTTTCTTTTTAATCCTGCCAATACTTCTCTCACCTCCTCAAAGTAAGAAACATACAGCCTCGCTGCTGTTTACCTGCCAAAATAACAAGAATAAATCAGACGAGGCTGAAGCAAACCGCTTTAGATGCTTTAGTGCTAAAGTGCCAAGCTTGTTTTATCGCTGTGAAATCACTACATTCCCCTTCAGCTAAGATCAAAACTTTTCAGTTTCTGGATAGGCTGTGGGATTTTAACTAAAGAAACTTGAATTTCAAAAGCTCCTTTTCCTCTTTTATGTTTTTACATTCCTTGATAAATCTCGAAATCTACAGTAAAATGTTCTTAAAAGGGTTCAAACTGACGTGAAACTTGAAAAGCAGACAACCCATCGTTTCTGCCTCTCTTTGACGCGAATCCTTAGAAGCAGCAGAGCAAAGGAAGGAGCAAATCCATTAGAAACAGACTGTAATGTTCCCGGGTGCTGGGAGTCGTTTTAAAGTTGCGCCAGAAGTGCTTCTGCAGACGATAGAGATCTCCTCTTCCTCCACTTTGACTGCCAGGATCATCGGCAGGTAATGGATTCCTGTCTCACTTTAAAACGCCTTCGCCTTGACTCATCTAATAGAAGTCATTTTACGGCATGACTGAGTAAAATCCTAATCCCAGAGGGACATTCGCTTTAAAATGAGAAGGATTCCAGCGATGTGGTAAAACAAATCCATCTAATTAACGACGACGAGACACAGAACCACCTAGTTTTTAACGCAGCTGTTTTATTTAAATATATCCCATCTGTGCGTGCCGTGAAAAGTGTTGACACTGGTTTTACTTTGCAGTGAAAGTAACAGAGAATGTATCCTGTTCTGATCTTTTTTTTTTTTCCTTTGAGGTACGGGTTTATTATTTATGATCTGTTAAATATTCAGGTGAACGGTGTTCTGTCGTGTTTTTGAGTTTACAGAGCAGAAGTAGGAACCTTTAGTGGCTTAACGTCTCAAAGCTCTTCTCTCCCTTTCGCTTTTACTTGTTAAATTTTGAAGCAATGGTTTGAAAAATACAAATACGCCAGACAAAACTGAAGAAGGCAGCGTTTTAAAGGAGGTCGAGCCCCCTTCTCTTCACTTCTCAGTGTGTAACTCTTCTCTTGTTGAAAGGCTGCTCTCACACTATTAATTGTCACTTCAATAAATGGGCATGTGCATGTTCATGAGTGGTGGTGTTTTCTTATCCTTTTTCTAAATATGAAGCTGCATCAGCCTCTGATTCAACGTCGTCTGGATTTATTATGTTGTTCGTTGCAAAAACTAATATAAGGAAGTCAGTTTTTCTTAGTTTTTTTTTCCTTTATTTGAGCAGTTAGTCAATATACCAATTAATTTACGTGATTTACTTTTGAAACACTGTTAAATATAAACCATGTGTCTACAACTTGAAGGTTTCTCTCCGGTTCTTTTCCCTGAAAGGAGAGCAGTCGGGACAAACTCTTTAAATAACACTTCATAACTTATATCTATTAAAAAACAAGGAGACATGACAACAGATTCTGATAGAAATTGTAATCTTAGATCAGAGAAGTTGCTTAAAACTACAGAATGGCAGCTGCTTACCAGCCGGGCTCACTTCTCGGGAAGTGGCCCCGATAAACAGTTAGAGGCATCTTATTCATCTCCATTCTGCCACAACATATTTTACATCTGATGAGGAGGCATCTATGGCTTCAGACTTATCAAATTCTTATTCCATTCCCAAATATTTGCCACCAAGATGAAGATTATAACTTTATATCCAGGACAGAGGAACCGTCCTAATTAGATAAACTACTGGGGAAAACATTAGTTCTGACGCTCCGGTGAAGGTTCTCAATCATCCAGGTCATTCCGAAAAAATTAAAAACGATCTACTGGACTTTGTTTACAAGTTTAAAGACGTTTCGCTTTCCATTTAGGAATATTTTTCAATTCTAAATGTCAGGGATATCGTTGACATTTTGAATTGAAAAAGCTTCCTGGATGGGAAGTGAAACGTCTTCAAACTTG